CCCGCCCCCGCCGAAATGTGTCTCTTCTCTAGCATTCCCAATCTCAGGAAAGCCAGTACCCATTCACTCACTCAATCCTCCAAACAAAAGAGCTCCCCCATCCCTCTCTCTTCTTCGTCCCAACCTTCGATTAGTCACCAAGGATCTACTCTACTTCCTAAACTTCTCTGGAATTCGTCTTCCTCTCTCCAGTCCCACTGCGTCAGTTCAGGGCCCCACATTTCTCACTTGGCCTTTACCAACCTCCTTGCCTCCCACTCTTCTCCCTCCATTCTTCCTCACCTACCACCCGTCCCCTAAAATACAAACGTGATTAGATCCCTGCCTTAAAATGCTTCATGGGCTTCCCGGGACCTTCTGAATCAAACGGAAACTTCTTAGCAAACAGGAAGATTCTTTACCACCTAGACTTTCCCTCATTCCTATCTCATTTCCGCCTGCCCACCCCACCCCCCAAATACCCTTTTCTCCTCTTCTGAACATGCCCTGGTCTTATACAGGAGAACCATGCCCTCCTCACCTCATACTGCTAAGTGACTCTTCCGCGCCCTTCAAGATTCATCCTGAGCATCACTTTCTCCAAAAACCCTCCAACAGAGCTAGCTAACAGGGACCACCATCCCAGGGAGTTTACAAGAATTACCTCCTTCTGACTCCCCTCTTTTGCCTTCAGAGGGTGGGATTGGTGATACACAGCACGTCAGTAACGGAGCACAGGTAAACAGGAGAGTCCTCACAAGGGGCACAAACTGTAGAACTTTGAGATTCCTGTTCCTGCTCAAGACACAAGGCCCCAAACCTCTCATTGCCCAGCTAGTGGAAGCAGAACGGCCCAGCCCACCTGTATTTGGAAACATCTTAAGAGAAATCTGGCCTTACTGGACTTTATCAGATACACAATCCTGACTGCTTTGTTTTTGGAGAATTCTGAGGTTCTAAGAAAAGGTTTTTATTTTTTTTTCAAACCATTTTTTTTAAGTTGAGAATTATGTTTTATTTTTTGGCCGCACTGCACCGCACGCGGAAACTTCCCTGACCAGGGATCAAACCTGTGCCCCTTGCAGTAGAAGGGCAGAGTCTTAACCACTGGACCACCAGGGAAGTCCAAAAACAGTTTTTAATTGTATCAACAGTACCTTCCTCAGGTTACTCTGTGGTTTATCAATGTTATTAAAGTGAGACGCCTCAGTCCACTACGTCACATAATATCCAATAAACTGATGCTTACTGAGCATCAGTGCTTGAGAGATGGAAAATGAATAAAGCACAATCCACAAGATAAATTCAGATCAGTGAGGGAGTACAATTCGAGAAGTTTCATCCCATCCATGGGCACACAGAAAATGAATTGTGAGGTGTCCACTGATTTATATATTGGGATCCAGTCAGAAAAACACAATTCGATAGGATGTCATCATAATGAACACTTCCTAGGAATATGCATTGCATATATTAAGTTACCCATTGTAAGTTAGGCAACCCTACAGACTAGTTTAAAAACAGCTTAATATATGTGGAATCTAAAAAACTGTACAAATGAACTTATTTACAAAAGAGAAATAGAGTCACAGATGTAGAAAACAAACTTATGGTTACTGGGGGGGAAAAGGTGGGTGCGGGATAAACTGGGAGATTGGGATTGACATATACACACTACTATATATAAAACAGTTACTAATAAGAACCTACTGTATAGCACAGGGAACTCTACTCAATACCCTGCAGTGACCTATATGGGAAAAGAATCTAAAACAGAGTGGATACATGTATGTATATAGTTGATTCACTTTGCTGTACACCTGAAACTAACACAACATTGTAAATCGACTATATTCCAGTAAAAATTATAAATAAATAAGTAAATAAATGCAGCTTAATGGATGGAACTTGCAGGAGATTCTGCCTTATAACCAGGAAGTAACTTAGATAGAATAATGTTATGGAACAAATACCTGTCAATGGCTTACTGTCATTGGGTCTCTGAGATAACGGACTCATGGACCCTCCTCCAAAGCTTTTTCAGGATTTACTTAGTCCAGGGTCAGGTGTTGTGACTGTCCATAAGAAATATCTTCCCAAGTTCTGAGAATATGAAACAGCAGTTCAGTCACTGATGTGGGAAGATTGTTTCAAAGTCCTTAGAACAGAGCTTAAATTTTATGTTGTATTTTATGTTCCGTTTTAGCTCTACATTACCAAACTGTGTTTTTTTCTTGATCATTTCAGTGTACTTGTTCTTTATTTAAAGTTTATGGATTAAGGGATGACTTCTGAGGCAACAAAATGTAAATAATCTGACTTCGGTGTTGATTCTCTACCACAATTTAAAGACACTGGTTCGTCACCACTGCTGTTGTTTCTTGCAGAACTGTACAAATATCGAGTGCTTACAAATCTCCTGTGCAGTGGGACAACTAGGGGGAGGAGAAAGCGCCGTCCTGAAAGTCAGGTCACGGTTGTGGGCCAAGACGTTTCTCCAGGTAAGAGAAGCAGTGCAGCACCGACGTGCCACTCACAGGAAATCTCTTCTCAGAAGCTCAGAGGGGAGCCTTTTTGAAAAGGATTTTTAGATGTTTTAACTTTTTTAATGTTTTGATTTTCTATGTTTTCCATTAAAATTTTTTGTATTTTTAGATTAATTTTCAAATTTTTAAATTTAATTTTTAAAAAATTTTGAAGAACTCTCTGGAAGGAATGGAGCCTAGATCAGCTGGTCATCTTTCCCATCAGATGAAGTTGATATTTTTCCAGGTTTATTGAGATCTTATTGACATATGACCTATGTAAACTTAAGGTGTACAACATGACAATTTGATACTATATATTGTGACATGATTATCACAATAAGCTTAGTTAATACCTCTATCCCCTCACATAATTTCCTGTGTGTGTGTCTGTGTGTGTGTGTGTGTGTGTGTGTGTGTATGTGTGTGTTGAGAACTTTTAAGATATGGGCTCTTGGGCTTCCCTGGTGGCGCAGTGGTTGAGAGTCCGCCTGCCAATGCAGAGGACGTGGGTTCGTGCCCCGGTCCGAGAAGATCCCACATGCCACGGAGCAGCTGGGCCCGTGAGCCATGGCCGCTGAGCCTGTGTGTCTGGAGCCTGTGCTCCACAATGGGAGAGGCCACAACAGTGAGAGGCCCGTGTACCGCAAGAAAAAAAAAAAGATATGGGCTCTTAACTACTTTGAAGTTTATACTATAGTATTGTTGACTATAATCACTATATTGTACATTAGGTCTCCAGGACTTATTGATGTACTAGCTGCAAGTTTGTTCCTTTAACATCATGTATCCATTTCCCCCACACACAACCCCTGGTAACCATCAGTTCTCTATTTCTATGAATCTGGCTTTTTTTAGATTCTACGCATAAGTGGGTTCATACCCTATTTTTCTTTCTCTGTTTGATTTATCTCACTTGGCATAATGCTCTCAAGGTCCATCCATGGTGTTGCAAAAAGCAAGATTTCTTTCTTTTTTATGGCCGAATGATATTCCATTGTGTGTGTGTGTGTGTGTGTGTGTGTGTGTGATATGTTAGGTGAACACAATTTAAATATCCTCAGTCCCTAAGACCGTCAGACAGTAACTGAGATTTGAACAAATCTGTTTGACTCAACACTATCTAGTAGTTCCTCGGTAAATAGTAGTTAATGAAATGATGGTGAGTACAAGAACATAATTCAAGCCATATGCCCAGAAAAATTCAAATATAAATAGTTTAGCAGGGGAAGGGACAGTGTCCTAGAAAGTTCTTCTTGTCTGGTGATACCACAGCCTGGGCTTCAGCCAGAACAGCTTCTCAGTAAAGTTCCAGGCACGTTGATTTGTAGATTCCTCACTGCTTTGGCTTGTCTGGACTGTGGCATCCCATACTTCTCAGGATGATTATATTGATTGTGTGTATTTTAAAGGTTTAAAATCTCCTTTATACTAAGCAGATGAATTTTTCCATGTGGAAATTGCTATTTATTTAAATGAGACTGCTGTGTTGTGACCTTGTTGTGTGGGGAGGATTTGGGGGAAAAAAGCTAAATTAAAACTCCTCAAGTCCATACATTCTTGCCCATATTTTAACTACCAGAAAACTCATTTGGCTCACTGTACCATAGAAAATCCAATGATAAAATCCTTCTGAGTCTAGCTAATAATACAGAATTTTGTAGCTCTAGATTCTCCCGTTTTCTATGAATCAGAATACTTGCGGTAGTCGCACAAATCTTATATAATTTTGTTTCTAAAATAAAGAGGAGGAAAATTAAAAGTATTTTTAAAAAGTTTTTTGTGAAGCATTCTTTTTTTTTTTTTTAACCTAAGGCAGGATTCTTCAACCTCAGCCCTATTAATATTCTGGTTCAGAGAATTCTTTGTTGTGGGGCGGTCCTGTGCATGATAGGATGCTTAGCAGCATCCCTGGCCCCTGCCCACTAGATGCCAGTAACAGCTCTCACCTCAGCTGTGACAACCAAAAATGTCTGCAAACATCGCCAGTGTCCCCTGGGGGCAAAATCATTCCTGGCTTTGAACAACTGACCTAAGGAGAAGGGCAGTGCACAATTTCTTTTTGCTGTTGTTGTTAAACCATGATTTATTCATTCACTCAATAAATATTTATGAAGTACCAACTGCCAACTATGTGTCAGGCACTGCTTCAGGTACCACTTGCATGCCATCAATTTGCTCATAGCCATTCTGCTTTTTGACTGTTACTTTTTCTCTGAGAGTTGGGGGAGATGAGTTTTAATGAATTCCCAAGCCCACACAGTCTAAATGATAACCATCCACCCCTCCTATTACTTTGGGCATCACATCCTACTGAAATGAGGAAGCACAGCTTTTCAATGAAGCAGGACTAAAATCATTACGGCATTACAGTCAAGGCGGAAATGACAATTTCAGATGACATACGTCTGTCTGTGCATAACACACTGTTCCAACAGAAGACCTATGGAGCGAAAATTGCACCTTTAAGAAAGATAGATACCATATGATATCATTTATATGTGGAATCTAAAATATGACACAAATGAACCTATCTCTGAAACAGAAACAGAACCACAAACATAGAGAACAGACTTGTGGCTGCCAAGGGGGAAGGGGGGTGGAGGAGGGATGGATGGAGTTTGGGGTTAGCAGATGCAAGCTATCATATATAGAATGGATAAAAACAAGGTCCTACTGTATAGCACAGGGAACTATATCCAAAATCCTGTAATAAACCATAATGAAATGAATATGAAAAAGAATGTATATATATATATATATATATATGTGTGTGTGTGTGTGTAACTGAATCACTTTGCTCTGCAATCAATTTGCAGAAATTAACACAATATTGTAAATCAACTATACTTCAATAAAATAAATCTTTTAAAAAGTTTAAAAAATAAAGCACTTTCACCATGTAGAAGTAAAAAAAAAAAAAAAAAGAAAAGAAAATTGCATCTTCATCTACCTGTTGAAGACCCAGTGGATATGGAAGAAGTCAGTAGCAATTGAGGGATTTTCTTTTTTAAAACATCTTTATTGGAGTATAATTGCTTTACAATGCTGTGTTCGTTTCTGCTGTATAACGAAGTGAATCAGCTATACATATACCTATATCCCCATATCCCCTCCCTCTTGCGTCTCCCTCCCACCCTCCCTATCCCACCCCTCTAGGTGGACACAAAGCACCGAGCTGATCTCCCTGTGCTATGCGGCTGCTTCCCACTAGGATTTTCTAAACAATAACTATTTAGCACAAGTAGAGTCAGACCAGAACAACCCGCAGGGACATTCTGAGGTTCTACCAGAGCAAAGTGACGCTTCCAAAGATTCAGGAGAGACTGGCACACATCACTTCATGTTTACCCACAGCCATAGCCCAAACTTCTGTACTTCCACTGTTCCTGCTTATACCAGTCTCAGAAGCTGATGGCTAAAGAGGAGAGCATTACTGCAAACGGCCGCCGGCCTCAAAGAATATACTACATCCTGGAAGTCTTTAATAGTTTTGTCACACAACCCAGCAGGAGGCAAACATTTTCTGCCTTCCTAATCCGGGAGAGAAAGTTTATGATTCTCAGCTGACGTGATTTGCGGCATTATGTTTGGTTTTGCCCACATGGTAAACATGCATACTGGTCTTTAATTCTAAACGATGATCTGTGCTGTGATTGTTGCTTGAAAGAGCAACCTCTTTAACAGCTTAAAGTTTGACCAGTAATTGCTTTAAGTTTTGTTGTCCCACAAGGCTTTGTTTCTGGGAGATATTGAGTATTTAAACACAGGCTTTATAAAATGGGTGTGTGGTTTAAAAATAATTCTTGAGAAGGAATTTAGCACCGGGGCGGGGGGGAGCTCTTCATGGCCCCAGCCACCCTCACTAGGTCTTTAACCAACGTAAAAGCCTCACTCTCCACTCCATTTGTTCCCAGCTCTGTAACTTTTATTAGTACCATGACCGTAAGCCAATCTTTGTGCACTAGTACATAATAGAGGCAGGTGGTGGGCTGCAAACCACAGTTTAAATGATGTGGCAATGACAGAGGGATAGGGCATTTTCTAAGGATTAATAGCTAGCTGGGGCATGTGGAGGGTTCAAGATATTGTCAAGGGATATTAACTCCAGCTGCTTTTTTAATCCTAAATTGCCCACAATATGGCAGTGATGGCTATTACAGCAGTAGATTGCCACGCAGAAGAAGAGATGATTTTTTAACATAAGAATAATATCATGGTTATGTAAAGAGCACTGCTGAAAGCATTCAGCTTTGAACGTGGAATCAATAAAAGGACTGTGCTCGTGAATTAAACGCTTACCTGTACCAGGTTTTTGACTTACAGACACAGGACTCGTGTATCTTTGATGCTGACCTAGATCAGAGCCTAATAGCTCATATTTCCCATTCCGTGGAGCTTCAGAGCATCTTAGAAAAATGAAAAAAAAAATGCATTTTTCTACTGAAAAGGGTGGAAGAAACATTGCTTTTGGAGAATAATTTAAAATAAAGAACAGATCAATCTATGAGTTCTATTATTTACAGTCTATTTGCCTACCACCAGATTTGTTCAGGTCCCAGACTGTGTCCATTTGCATCGCTGAATTAGGTAACGGAGGTGAGAGTGTGTCCATAGCCCCTTATCATGATCGGCAGCCCTCATTTTATGTCACTACCTTCTCTTACAACTTCCTGAACTTCCTAATCTCATTTATGGGGGAGGAGGTCCAATTCAATAATTGACAGAATTAAACCTTTTATAAGGTGCTATCAAATGGGTGGATACAGGATAGGAGGGTCATCGGATAACCCAGCCATCTGATGTGTTCATTCACCATCCATTCATGCTGTCAGTCAAGCAGGATTGATGAAGCCCTTCCAGGCATACTGTTCCAGGTGCTATGGAAGGTATAAGCCTTATTATATTCCACGCTCTATGCCTTCCAGTTTTGGGTAATCTTGTCGGGGAAGAAAATAATCAAGAAAGATAAAGAACTAAACAACAATGTGGAAATTCCAAACAATATAGGGTAACTATAGTTTCATCGCAGACTTACTGAATCACAATCTGTGAACCTGATCCCAGGTGTTTCTGAGGTTCAGCAAAGCACAGTGTTTTGTGAACTAAGGGAAATGATGGTAAATATGGGTGATGAATGGAAAATGTGAGGAAGATTCAAAATGGCCAAGAGTAGAGGGATTAAAGGAAGGTGAGAGAAAATCCCCTCAGAGAAACATGTTTCTCCACATTCGAGACTTCAAATCCCATCTCTCTCTTTTTTAAAAATTTTTATTGGAGTATAGCTGATATACAATGTTGTGTTAATTTTGGGTATACAGCAAAGTGAATCGGTTATACATATGCATATATCCACTCTTTAAGATTCTTTTCCCATATAGGCCATTATAGAGTACTGAGTAGAGTTCCTGTGCTATACAGTAGGTCCTTATTAGTTATCTATTTTATACATAGTAGTGTGTATATGTCAATCCCAATCTCCCAATTTATCCTTTCCCCACTCCTTTACTCCCTGGTAACCATAGTTTGTTTTCTACATCTGTGACTCTATTTCTGCTTTGTAATTAAGTTCATTTGTTATTCATTAAGAAACTTCCATGTTCATAAATGCAGAATCATGTAGGACAAAAACTTTCCATCTAGAGTTGATTCGGAGATAGAGTTCTCTCATGATTTGTTTCCCAAAGATATGACTTCGAGACCAAGGGAATTATTTTCTATCAGTGTTTTTTTTATTGAACTTGGAGACTAAAGAAAACTTGTTCTCTGAAGGTTTGGGAGCCTGGACACACATTTGAATATGTTATTACAACCCTTATGCACAGAATCTCATTACCAGAATTTGTCATGTTTCTTCTATCAGCCATGGTATTAAGGAAAGTAGATTTAAATCACCAAGTACACACAAGATTTTATGAGCAAAGATTTCCACATTTTAAAAAACACTTCTCACACAAACAAAAATCCAGCTTTCAGTTAAAATGGAAATGCCAGGAGACAAGAGAACATAGGAAGAATAACGACCAAAAAGGAATTTTTCCAAATGAACAAAGTTGCTTACCCTATAATGTCAGGATAGAAAAAACAAAAACGCCAAAGAATTAGTGACTTTAAGTATATATAAAAGTTTTGCATACTCTAGCCTGTCCTCATCACGTAGAAGAAATGGGGTTTATTGAAGGGAGAAAAAATTGAACCACAGGGGAAAAATTAATTTGTAAAAATATTGAAATTATTACAATGCAACCTGTTGGATTGGCCTCAAGAAACCCAACATTGGATTATAGATGGTGAAGTGCTAGCAAATGTTTAATAAACCACTTTCTGGAGGGGAAAAAACTCTGAAATGTAACATTTGCTGATTCCCATGGTCTGGCTGTTCCCGCCATGGTCAATTTCAAGCTGCCAACGTGGCATCACTGAATACAGAGTTGGGAAGAGATGCAGAGCAGCACACCATCATATAGTATGTCTCCTACAGACACAATAGACTTAAGTAATATCGAGAGCATAGATAATAGTAAAATGCAATAAAATTATTGCTAAGTACTGAGTTTAGAGTGTTTATTACCTTTTTAAAAATATAATTTACTAACGTTTATGTATATATAACTTGTTTTAATAATGGCTCTATTTAACAACAGGTACTCAAAATTCTTGAAATTTTAACATTCTGCTCCCCAGCGCCATTATGAGCCAGCTACAGCCTCTACCCCTGGGTAGATCTCATCGCTGTCTCAAGCTAAACAGAGGAGAACCACAGGAGCTTAAATTCTCAGAATGGTTTTCCTTGAGTTACTATTAAATACTCTCCCTTGACCTTAATCAACAGTTAATATGAGAACCGATTAAACAAAAAGAACTTGCTGAAAAGTTCTGTCAAAAACACTGTGTGGCTCTAGGTCAGTGGTTCTTAACCAGGGGGATTTTGCTCCCCAGAGGACACTGGCAGTAATTAGAGACATTTTCAATTGTTTCAACTGGGTGAGGGGTGCTACTGGCATCTCCTGGGTAGATGCCATGGATGCTGCTAAACATCCTACAATGCACAGGACAGTTCCTTAACCAACCCAAAATCCTAATAGTGCCATGACTGAGAGATCTGTTCTGGGTCTTCTGTATAAGATGAAATGTGATTAATTTCTTTGTAACTTAGCAGCAGTCTCTCTCCTAAAATATTTCCTTCTCTCAGATAACAAGAATTTGTAACCCACGATGTCTCCCTGTTATGTTCTAATGGCACTTGTGCTTACTCCTTTTAGGAACTCTGCTTTTCTGTTTTTATTTTAACCTTATTATGCCAAGTCTTTTGTTCATAAGATGAATTACCTTTAGAAATAAGAAGATGAATGGTTGGTTGGATGGATAGTGAATGGGTGGTGGATGGGTGGATGGGTGGATGATGGACAGAAGGTGGACGGGGAGATGATGAATGGATCATGAATGGATAGATGGATGCGGAAAAAGTAAAGAGAGAAAAGGAAGAGAGAAGGAAGCAGGAAATTTTGCTTTGGAAATGGACAACATGAAAAACAACCGGTTGGCTGCCAATATAACTTTTAAAAGCTTTACATGGACTATACTTAACTAAATGTTTTTAATTTCAGAGGAAAAATGATCCCTATTCTCTTGCATCCCTGGTGTCCTTTGAAGTTAAGAAGATGCCTTATAAAGATCAGCCAGCCAAACTCCCTAAAGGCAGCATAGCAGTGAGTATCTTAAAATATATATTAGGTACAAATCATTTTATTGAAATTATTTTTTAAATCACTGTTTTGCTTGTGGTAGGTTTACATGCTTATTACAGTGGCTTGAGAAAAGTTTCCCGCTTCAGATCACTATTTTCTTATTTCAGTCTGGAAATTCCTTAGTGTTATTTGATCAAATTTTTAAACCTTCATTGTAAACTTCTACCCCCTCCCACAAAATTCAGGACTAATACCATTTTTTTAATTAGGCTCTTTTGTTTGAAAGAAGTCCAGATAGTCATGATCATCAGAATGAAGTCATACTGATTGTAATTTTAAAGACAGCCTGGTGGGCTTCCCTGGTGGCGCAGTGGTTGGGAGTCCACCTGCCGATGCAGGGGACACGGGTTCATGCCCCAGTCCGGGAAGATCCCACATGCTGCAGAGCGGCTGGGCCCGTGAGCCATGGCCGCTGAGCCTGCGCGTCCGGAGCCTGTGCTCCAGCAATGGGAGAGGCCACAACAGTGAGAGGCCCG